ATGTCCTACCCTAAATCTCATTTTTCAAGCAGATAACTTACACTTCTTCCCTGAAGCAACTTAGCCAAACAAACACAGGTTAAGCATTTTGGTTTGAGACACTAGGAAGGTCAGGAATCCAGCATGCTGTTGTGGCAGCTATTTATCAAAACGAAAACAGTATGTAGATTATGAGGGAGCTCAGTTTTTCTATCAGTATTTTCCTGAGCTAGTGAATAAATAAATACTCACCAATGCCAAACATAGACCATTGAAGTGGTACCAAAATCACAGCAGGGACTATGATTAGGCTAAGACCAGCTTGACTCTGTGCAGTATAGCCATCTGCAAACATTTGTATGGAAATTAGTAAGACAGAAATCCTTGATTGGAAAAAAGCACAAAGCAACAAAAATAAATCCTTAGCCTCATCGAGTTTTTAGGGTCCGGAAAAAAATCCCACTGAAGAACCAGAAGTCACTCCCTAGCCCCTAACAGTGACCCAAGGTAGCAGGGCAGAAAACAGAAATAAATTTGGAGTCTGTATCTCCCTACAATCATCTGAGGGCCTGACAACCACAATGCTTTTTTTGCTGTATCCTGTAATATTTTTATTTTTTTATTTTAAAATTACTAGATTGCAATTGATAGGTGGCACTAATTTTCACACTACTGCATGGAAAAGATTTGTGCTCTTATTCTCTTAAACTAGGAAGGCAATTTTAATACACTTACCTTGGATAAAAAAAGCAGTGCCTACAACAGCAGCAACTATGGAGATGATACCTGCTGCAATAATACCCATTTTCTTTGGCGGTACAATTTCATATTTTAATCCTTAAAGGTAAAACAAAGAGAGACAGAGAGGAAAACAATCAGACACATAGATTCTCTCACTAAAATACACAGCTTTTATTATTATGACTGTTCTCCTAAAAGAAAACTCTTAAAAAATTAGAGCTATACATATTACTAAAGTTTCATTTGTTTTCATTGTTTGCTAGGGTTAATGTAGCTTACTCAGATAAATGAAACCTGGCACTGGTGTTTTAGTCAAATTCTTAATTCCTTCTATACAATTGAGGTGATATGTTATCAAAACAACTTTGGGACATGGTACAGGTTAATTCAAGTCGATGAACTACTGACACTTAAATAATGTTACAGTGAATTTTGTTACTCAGGTGAGTGTCGGACAAAGATTTAGAAATTCCAGGTTTAATTCTCTTCCCTGTGACACTGTGCGAGCTCAAACGTATGACCTCCGTCCCCAAGGCAACAGGGTGATTGATGTTCTCATCTCACCAGAATGCTTTAAGGATGAGTAGATATGGGATGACCTACATGCTCAGTTGCCATAGACGAGACTAATTTTCACTAAAACTGCACAGCTAAATAGCTGCCATCTCAGAAGTGGTTGATTCCAGTGGAGGGTTTCAAATCAGCAGCACTTTAGTAGTCTTTGGAAAAGAAGGGACAGTACAAATACAACATCACAACAAGCCATGTTTGTTTCTGCCTTACACACTGCTAAAACTAAGACACAGGAAAAGGTAGCTCTTGCTCCAAGCTTTAAACTTTATATACCAACAATCTTGGTACATGTTGAAATTGGTAATTGCAAGCAGAGAACAAACAAATACTGTAAGTAATTTCAAAAAGAAAAGCAAGGAGCACGTACAGAATTAATATCCCACTTACATGCACTGCATTAGCACAAAAAAAAATCACGAGGATACAGTAAACATTCTAGGGGGTACACGACAAAATATTTATTAGTATCTTACCCAAGGAAGAGTTGCAGAATATTCTCTTTTGTAATTAAAACTCTTTCATCATATTCACATTGCTTAACACAATAGGACCCCAGACATACTCCCAAATACTACTGTCATTTAAACCAAAAACTTATTTGGAACAGCAGTAATAGTAAAAACTTCCTTCGTATCTGTTATGGAAATTTACATCTTTTCATATTATAAATATGTTAAAATAAGGAAAGCAAGACACCAAGGCAAAAATAAGTAATGGATATGCAATACTTAAATCCTAAAAGTCAATCCTGTAAGCAAAACCAAAAAAAACTAAAAACCCCACCCTAAATCAACCATAAGAAAAAAACAAAAAGCCAAAGCCCCCATAAACCACAAAACCAAGACAATATATATTCCCAAGTGTTACACAGAAAAATCAAGCCCAGTCTAACAAACTGCTTAAAGGTATACTATAGCATTGCTGGATTCACAGGCTAACTAAAACGGTGCAAATTAAAGAAAAAAAAAAAAAACACAATAAAACCAAACAGTAAGTACATCTACATTTACTTAGAGGTAGCATGATTATCTTTCCTCAGAGAGGTCACAGATCTCACAATGAAAGATGCACAGATGCAAAAGAATCCAAGCAGGCTCAACCTACTCCTGTAAAATGGCAGTGTTTCTGCATGGATGTATCCATGCTTATTTCAGGACAATTGTTACTTTCTATTAAATCCTAAACATGTTAAAGTTCTTCTACAAATGGAAGGCAATGACATTTCCTGAACATATCAGGACAAATCAGAGACTCCTAAACCATTACAAACAGTAACAGAAATCAGGAACCTAACACTATGGAAATAAAATAATTTAAAATATATATATATATTAGTTGTCAACCTCTGACCATGGATGGACCTTCGAAGAGTCACATACCACTTTCAGAGGTTCATGAAAAGGTAATAAAGGAAACTATATTTAGATGGCTGAATATGTATGGGATTATTATAAATCGCTTTAAGCGCTATTTCTTATGGACTCCACTCTAAGCAGAAATTTTTATTATTATTATTTTTTAGAAGTCTACAAATGGAAAAAGGCTGGTTCAAACTAAAAGACGGATGTAACAATTTGCACCACAGGGAACCATCTGGAAGACTAGGACATAAAGCACACTCTACATTGCACACATATCGGACACCAGTGTGCAAAGAACATCTAAGGATGTCTGACACTGGTGAACGTAACATCACCTCTGAAAACGTTTAACAAAATCCCTTATGTCAATGTTAAATTGTAACTCAGCGCTGAAAGACTAAGAGCAATTTTACATTAAGAAGAGAGCATCCTCTTTCTCTAATACTGATTTTATGACCATAAAACAAATCATGGTGTTTCTAATGGTTCAATGTCACGGTGAACCATCAGTGAAAAAAAGCTTCCTTGTTCTAACCAACGACAGTAGACATTATCAGTTATACCCCACAAAAATTACACACATGCGAAAAAGCTCATTGTCTGCAACAGTAGTGGCAGCAGAAAGGAACATCAAGACATGGCAGGCAAGCTCTAAACACAGACCCTTTAGGCTGGACGTCATACCTTTGCCTACAAAGACACAGAGCTGCTAAAAATCTTAACCCTAGGAAGGAACCCCTGGCCTCCAAGCAAGCAGAGCAGACTGGCCCAGATACCACTGCCTAGGGCTAGACGCCCTTCAACAAAGTGTCTGTGTCCACACTGCATGTCTGGGGCACCATATGGCACACTGAAGTCCCAGAACACACATCTCTCTGATGAGGTCACGTTTGTTTTCAGGTCAAAGGTCCCAAACTCTGCAAATGCTATGCCAGACTAGTGCTTTGGTAGCTTGATGTCAAAAACATATGTTACATGTCCTGAAAGAGTGCAAGGCTCCCTGAGAAGGAAATGAAGACTGTTGCACAAAAAAATGCAGCTTGGTGTGCTCTTACTGACAAGCCTCTAAAAGTGCTTATTAGGAACTGAGAACTACGTAGGAGTTAACCCTCTCCTGGTGTTGGCTGACTCATGCCAAAAGAAAGCCCACAAGTGAACGCAAGTAATATAGTGTGGATGATCAGGAGAGGATTCCAGAGCAAACCAAACACCCCACGCTGTGACACAGCAGACGTATCACCCCTCTGTCAATTCTACAGACATCTTTTAGATTTAAGTACCACCTTTCATCTTACATGGATGCCTTCATGCAAGAGATTTTAGGACAAATCAATAACCATAAAGAATTAAAGAGTCAATACTTACCAATAACACTTAACTGAGCCCAACACAAAATAATAACTAAGAACAGCAACGCTATGATGACAGCCTTTTCCACTAGAAGAAACCATGATCCTAGAGAACAAACAAAGAAAAATGGTAGGAAGAAAACAAAAACTGAGGTTATTAGCTTTACATTTATTGCTCCTTTTAGGCTACACTCTAGATTGCTCAATACTGTACGTAACAGCATTAAGAGCTACAATAGGCTAAGAAAGCTATGACTTCTACCTATGTATTTTTCACTCTGATCTTGTATGTGACAACCTATTTTTTCAGTACTTCTAGTTACCCTAACATTTTCCAAACTGGAGGTCTTAACCTCCAGTGCAGCAGGGGATACGTTTATGCTATTGTCTGGCAGTACAAGCTAGCTGGCTTGTGGAAGTACAAACAGCACAGTAGCTCAGAAAAACGGTGTATTTAAGCTAAGCAGGGAAGCTGGGCAAGATACTAAAAGTCCAATTTAATGCTTCCCCAGCTATTCTATTCTACTTCCAGCTGCTGCAATTTCTGAAGAAATACAGATGTGTGATAAGGAATACAGGAGCTAACCTAAGTGAGAACGAAATACTCCTTTGTTAATTTTAGAAATCACACATTTTCCTTCAGGTCTTCCCACCATCATCCATTTAGCTTTTTTTCCCCTGCATCTTGGAAGCCTTAGGCTGTTCAGTCACTCATGTCGTAAGACCATGCAAGCCACCTTCTAATATAAAATTCTGAAAACATCTCCACTGAACTAGAAAATGCAGCTGATTCTTGCATCTCTGCTCATAACTTCATTTAGACTCACTCAGTGGAGTTTGAAGTCTCCATTTCTTACATTATACGTGTCACTGTTCCTCTGCCAGCACACCTGCTTCTAAAGGAATTTCTAATCTTCGTTTAGATGAATACTACTTGCACTTACTCTTCACATTTAAAAGCTCCAGAAACATGGAATTAAGCAGCAATACCTTGCAATTTTCAATGCCAAGTAAATACCTCAAGGACACTTTTAAATTCACAAACTCCCCTCTTCCCCCTCCCTTCTCCCTGCAAGGGGTCACAGAAGAAGAGACTGTTGGTAGAATATAAATACAAGGCAATCACTAAGTATACTAAAGGCAGAGAAATGGAGGAATATCTGTAAGCTTCCTTACGGCCAAAAGAAGCCTAATTTAATGAATTGTTTAAAGGAAGGCTTTTTGTGTCATATGCATTTCAAAAAAGCAACTAACACTGAACAGTAACGTCAATGCACGGTTGCCATTCTCTAGATTAGCCAAATCTTACAGGCAGATCCTAGCGATGGTACTCAGCGTAAATGAGAATTATTAATGAATAGAAAGTATCTGAAAGCAGAGACTGAAAAGGAGCTTCACTTCCTCTGTAGCATTTCCAGGTGACGCCATCAGGTATTACAAATAGAAAGAAAGCAGCCTGTATCTCCTAGGACTTCAGCAGTGGGGAGGGGAAGGAAAAAAACAAGGACAGGAAAAAAAGGGACAGGAAAAAAAGGGACAGGAAAAAAAGGGACAGGAAAAAAAGGGACAGGAAAAAAAGGGACAGGAAAAAAAGGGACAGGAAAAAAAGGGACAGGAAAAAAAGGGACAGGAAAAAAAGGGACAGGAAAAAAAGGGACAGGAAAAAAAGGGACAGGAAAAAAAGGGACAGGAAAAAAAGGGACAGGAAAAAAAGGGACAGGAAAAAAAGGGACAGGAAAAAAAGGGACAGGAAAAAAAGGGACAGGAAAAAATGCCCAAAGACAAGCACAGTAGCATGTAAGTCTTGCTAACTCTGCTACCCACTTCCTACACGAATTAACGAATTCCATAAAGTGAGATGGAGAATAGTTGGCCCTTTTAAGACTATTTTTGCAAAGCATCAATTGAAACATATTAACAGTGACAGCATGAATTTGTTAGTCAGACATGACGGAGTGAAGACTGGTATAGGATTTCCATTATTCACTAACCCTTTCAAAACTCATTTGCTCCACTTTCTTCTATTAGCTTATTATCTCAAGAGTCTCTCTAGAAAACTGAGGAACAAACAAGGAAAAATTATGCAGAAGAATTTAAAGAGAGAACAAGAGACTATTTTACTTTCAGCTAAACCCTCAAACTTAGTCTTAAGTTTTACATTTTCCAGCATACACTCTCAAACCTAATGTGACCTCGCAACTATAAATTCTTCACCAACCACATTTATCCTTTGGTGTTGGGGTACTTTCCTCGTCGCAACTGACAACTAGAAAATGAAATTAGAAAAATTACATCAGTTTCCTGCTTTGTAGTCTTTATACTGCTTTCAAAACTCTAAACACAGCTAAAGTGAAAAGAAAACAATAAAACTTTCAAATGGGACTTGATTCTACTACATCCTCAAGCCTCGTTTACTCTTCTAGAGCTTAACACTGAATAGCAAAAACAGTCCCAAAAGGTTGAGTAAGGAAAAAGCTGTAAGTGAAGGAAAGAAACTGCCTACACCTCTTCCCCTGTTTTTGCAGTGTTCTAAGAACCAAATGGTTTTGTAGCATCCTCGCTCTTTCAGTGGCTGTGTCCTATTCAATCTGTCTCAGGATCACATTAGTTTTGCAGTGTATATGGTTAACTCAATAATTAGACCCAACTGTGAATTACACAGATGTTTGCAGCTGGACATAAGTAACATCTGTTTGAGCTTTAAAATAAATATTTTAATGACAAATGCAAAAACTAATAGCAAAAATTTCCTAGGGCAATTCCACAGCGCATGGTTAAGACTCCATGTGCTACACATATGTAATACACCCAGTGCTTCTGAGAAGCTTTCCAGAAGCAAGGAGCAAGCCTCCTGTGCAGAACAGACAAGCAAAACACACGTATGTTCAGTGAAACTGTCACCTCTGCAGAACGGTAGACAGGCTGCACATGTACAGCAGACCCCATTACTCAATGGCTGAGGCACTAGAGCACACAGGCTGCGTCTGACAGGATACGGCAAAATGGCTCACGAAACGAGAAATGCATCACTTAGTCACCATTATTTTGAGCATCGTCTTCTGAAGACGACATTTAATGCTAGACAATCGTAACAAGCTACCATCTAGTAGTTGCATTTGCAGCCTCACTGGAAAACTGCATACCTTCAGATCAAGTTTCTGAGCCCTTATACAGAATTTCTGTTAGTTCTATCTGCAATTTTTTCCAGCAGAGGTAAAGATTGCAAGATGCAATTCTTCAAAGACAAGACCTCTGCAGCCACTGTGATGGATGTATACATCTCCGTATTAACACAGATACGAGGAATATGTTTCACTATGTAATGCAGTAAGATGAGGGTGCTGAAAATATCACCAACTATATAATCTAAACGACGAGGGAAAGCATAGATTTTACTATATTTGACAAGTGATCTTCAGACATTATTCCAGAATGAAAAAATGTATTCAGATCTTTCCTGCAGAAGCACTCCTCTATAACTTCACCCAAAATAACTCATATTAGCATTCAAATTGGAAGGCCTGGGTGCTACGTTTTTTGTATTTTTCATTTAAAGTAAAACATAGTCATATTAGTTATGTTTTTCTCTTTCCCATAAGATTTTGCTTGCTTTCTCTCCCAAAAGGTTCTAAAATAATGGCAGGCAACTCACCTGATCGGTTTATAAGTTCAACTCTTGATTCTCCTTCTGTGTTTGATTCTGTTACTTCACAACTGTAATTTCCAACTTCTGCTTCTGCACCGTTAAGCATTAGAGAGGCAACACCCTTGGGTAAATCCGCCTGAGATACAAAGTTAGCTGATGGAACCGTTGGATGTCTCAAAAACTTTTGGTTTGGTCCATCAAAAGAAAATATTATTTTTCCTTGTCTTTTCCACCTAACAAACATGACCTCTGGATTGTTGTCCTTTAGATTAGTCACAATGCAAGGTAAAATGACAGTTTTATTACAGTCAGTTCTTTCAACAACATCTGTCACAACAAACTTCAACTGGGCAGAACCTATAAAGAAAAATAAAAATTGACACATTCAGAATTATTTCTTAATATACAAGAGAAGAAAGAAAAAAAGAATTACAACACACGTCTTGGGAAAACGGAACAAATTCTCCCACGAAACCACAAAAAGAGAACCATGCTTTAAGGGAGTAACAAAGGAAAAAAAGCATTATTGTAATTCTGCTACAGCCCCTCTACACAGACTTAGCCATTCTCACATCCATTTAATGTACAGATACCATAACCTGTCCTAAGCTTTTTAAAAAATGTAATAAAACTTTGGGCTGCCACTCGCTTGGACACTTCCCCTAAAATGTCATACTCAGAAATACTGCATTAAGGCCTGGTTTCTGCAAAGCACACACGTAACATGAACCACAGGTTGTTCCATTGATTTTCAAGTTTTTGCTGATGATCACACAGGTATCCAAAAACAGAGGTCATCAGCTCCACACAAGCATCCTTTACTGGGAAAAATTCTACTTTTACACTTCTGAGAGAAGGCAGGCACGGCAGCTCAGTCAATAAAGGTTTGTCATTTGTTCCTCCTATCTCTGAAGGTTCACATCATTTCTTGCAAATTCTCTTTCCGTTTCCAAAGGAGGAGGTGCACACGCAATACCATATATTAAATAAGACTATTACTTAGTATTTGAGTGTACACACAACAGAATTGAAAATGGAGCATAATAAACGACCTGTATTATAAATCATTGTGATTAATGTTACTGACAACGGCATTCAAAGCAGGTAATGAAAAAACAGCACCACACGGATTATGTTATCACTGCTGGTTTTCACCATTTCCCTGCCACACTGCACCACTGTTCCAAAGCAGTAGTACTGACTGAACGCTGCTTCAAGACAGACATAAATCCTATGCCAAGATTTTATCTGAAAGCAAGATCCATTCATCAGTTCTTGAGAATACCAAAAATTACAACATCAGTATTTAAATTACACCAGGAACCAGAAAAAAAAGGTTAATTAAACTAACTTGACTGCAAAACATGAAGGCTTTGAATCCTGCATTTTCTATGTGTTTTCTTGTTTGTCTGAAATCCCAACTTAGTTTAATAGCTGTCCTAATAGTCCCAGTGATATTAATCATTCAAAATGTTTGACTTATATCCACCTGATAAAATCAAATATGGGAAACGATATGTACTGAAAAACAAGACCACAACCCCTAATACTGTAAGCACACAGACTTACAAACTAGTGTAGCTCCAGTGACTTCAGATTCACATGTCTAAACCAGCTCAGAATTGTGATATGTATTTGATGACTAAATTAAATAAGGGAAAGGGGAGGAGAAAAAAAAAAAAATCAATGAAAGTTGTGCCCCTATTTGCAGTAGCTGAATTTTTTTAAAGCAACAGTCTCAGATCAAATTTAAGAAGCACTGATCCTTGAAACATTGCTTTAATATTCTCACACAAGTCACTATATTAGTGCTGAATATCAAAAGCTTGTAATAAACTGATTAAATATGCATTATGCATGACAGCACTTAATAATGAAGAAAGAATTATTCTCTGGTTTACTCACTATGTTGCGTTTTTTAAACTGCACCTCAAAAAATAGCAGTAGCAAAAGCACAACAAAGGGAAACTGTACTCAAACCCCAAATTATGCACTAATGAAAAATAAATGCACACAATAAAAAGCTGCAGTGCTTCAGCGGTTCTTCCTGAAACAGATTTCACATCTGTTTTATTTCAACACTACCGCACAATAAAAGGTTTCTGAGCATGGAGTGGGTTGGGTTTTGGTTTGGGATTTTGGGGGTTTTGGTTTGGTTTTTGGTTGGTTTTTTTTTTTTCCCCTTTGGAGCTAGCACATTTACATTTCCTAGGAAGAATTTATTCTCTGCTGGCTCCATCACTGAGAAAAGTGATTTTCAACTAAAGGAAGCAACTCTACTTCCACATATTTACCAAAGCAAATAAAAAACCACCATCTTGACAGGATTAAAACAAATCGATCATGATTTTCTCACTAGTATTAGCACAGAATGGCAGGAAGCTGTAAATTACTGATTCCACCCAATTGCTGTTGTGTAGTCTATGAAAGCTGGCATATTTTGCCTGGAGCCAATTACGAAGTACTCATGTGAACTGCTCCACCAGGAGACTGCTGGGGAAATAATAACAAGCAGGCTGCAGACAGGCACCAACAGAGAAGCACACAGACAAGTATCTGTGGGGTCTGTCCTCTGAAAATCTGAATGCTTTGGTTGCACAGCTGCTGTCTCATGCAAGGGACCCTCTGACTGCTTACTACAGAAGATACTTCCTCTATCAACTTCTGACATCCTTCTCGTGGCGTGAGAAAGTCATCATTTAGCAGCAGTTCCCAAATCCTGCAGGCTACTAGGTGGGCACTCAGCCTCAAACCTTCTCACGGATTACAGCTTGGAGGTGTGACGTTAAGGTGACAACCTCAGAGCCTTACTGGGCAGTTTGGGGGGCCTGCTTCTGAAGAACGTGCAGCTGTGAAGCTGCCACAGAAAGGTTGTTCCAAACGATATATGCAGCGCAAATTCAGGAAGGCCGCACATTATGTCAAAATTGTCCAAGTTTGGTAGTTGCACCTGATGGACACCTGCAATTCTCGCTGAATACAGAACGCGCCAGGGCACTCAGCAATTAAGCCAGTCTACAGCTTACTCGGGAACTCGGACAGGAATTCAGACACTAGCTTTAGACACGCAGGTTTGGACGAGCTGCTCACCGACGAAGAACAACCTCGCATCTGCACCTCAGTGAAAATGCTGTAATTTTTTAACTCTCCCTGCCCCCCCCCGAGTTTCAACTCGAGGTATCGAAAAATAGGAAGTTGCACTGCGAGGCGTCATCTCCACATCAATGACACCCAAACTTTTTTTTTTTTTTTTTTTTTTTTTAAGATCGAGAAACGCCGCCAACCCTAGAAACCGTACAGCAGACGACCAGTTCGATCATCGTCATCTCCTCAAGATAACCTGCCCTAACGCTTCCAGGCACACGAAGACGAGGAGCTCCGCGCTGGGCACGGCGTCCCTCCTCTCCCCCGCAACTCCTGCGCGAAGCAGCGCACCGGGCGAGGGGAG